CTAGACTATTTGCCTTGAAAGCTTAACATATTTCTAAGTGACTTCATTGCTCTTATAGGTAACTCTTTGTCATCCAGCTACCATACAAAACACTGTGCAGCTAATAGGCAATATAAGGCATTTTCTCAAAGGATCCTGTATCTATCTGCCTCTGGTTAAAAGTGGCACAGCTCGGCCAGGCTGTGGTGGCACATGCCTTTAATCCCAGCAATCGGGAGGCAGAGCCAGGTGAATCTCTGTGAGTTCGAGGCCAACCTGGTCTACAGAGCGAGATCCACAACAGGAACCAAAACTACACAGAGAAACCCTGTCTTGAAAAACCAAAAAATAAAAAAAAATAAATAAATAAAAAATTAAAAAAAAAAAGTGGCACAGCTCCAAGCTCTGTTTCCTTACGGTTTTTCATTGGAGCTGATACTCAACAAACTCTCAATTTTCCTCCTCCTTAATTTTTTAAAAGCTGCATTTTAAGTTTACTAAGAGCATCTTTTAATGTTATCAATGTTTCTATGGAATATTAAACACAACTCAATCTCATAAGATTTTTTTTTAATTATCTCTTGTGAGGCAAGCTATTTATTTGCTTTCAACTTTTTGGGAAGTAAATCTAAGCTTTCTAGAAATGCTTAGGAAGGAAGTTTTATTTCCAGTTAAAAAAAAACAGTTTTTCCAGGCAATATCGCCATCATTAGTGGAAAAACTACCTTTCCCAGAATGGATTTCTCTTGTATCAGCCGCTGTTCCGAGCTACCTTTTGGACTTCATTTCCCATAGTTCTTTTTGGATCTGGGAGTCGACTTCCGGTTCCCTTTTACCGGCTTGCTTTCAAACAAGCTTTTTAAATGCAGTACGTGAGGGTTCTTGAGTCAAAGGATTTCTGTTCTCTCTGAGGTGATCTTAATAGGTGTTTTTCTTTCATCTAATACTGACTCCATATCAGAATCACACCTGACTCGTTAGCACATGTTGAGGCTGGCATCCCTGATTCCAAAATGTCCGCGGGGCTCGTTCATTTGCTTCAGCCAGACAGTGAAAAGGAACAAGAGCCCTTAAAGCAAAGCTTTCTTGCAGCTCCTTCAGAGAGACTTTCCCTGATAGACATCTCGTCCTGCTTGTTATTAAGGGAGGTTTTTGTTATTCCTAGCCTCCCATTAGGAGAGGTGTACTTCCCTAATCAGAACTTTGACCTGGCCCAGTCCCCCATTGGGTTGCATTCGTTTGTCCATGTGCTCTCAGAGAGTAGCTTATTCCCAGAGGCAACCACCCTTCAGGGCTTCACTCCCTCGCCTCACCCGGAGTCAGTGGGGGAAAACCAAAAGTGCTTGAAACAAAGCTTTTCTGAGAAAGGTCCTTTCTCTCATAGGGAAAAAAAAAAAAAAAAAGGCTTTCCTGGATAGTTCTCCATCCTGTCCTGGCTCAGATCCTCCCCCCAGAGTTTCTGATGCTGCTTCTGCTGCAGCTGCAGACATAGCTCAGCCTCTACCATGCCAGCAGCTTCCTCAAGCTGCCCTACACTTTCCTGAGCATCTTTCTAGCTGCAGAAGAATTCTGGCTAGGGTCTGAAGTAACTGCTGTTTTTTTTTCTGGCTCAAAAGAAAGACAGAACTTAAAGAGGTTTTGTTCCCTGTTCCAAGAAGTTTGTTGTTTTTTCTTAGAGTAAACCACTGGTGAATTCCTGCACTAATATCTCCAAGTGATTCTTACTTTTGTCCTTACAGAAAGAAAATCTGAGAGAAAGTTCTGAAAGGCTTTTTAGTTTTTTAGAGAGAGATTAAGTTTTTAAGAAAGCTTTTAGTTTGAAAGAAAAAGATTAAGTTTTCCCAAATTTTCTGTTCTCTAAGCTTTTGACTTCATGGTAAAGAGGAAACTAATTCTGTTGGTACAATGTTGTAAAAGTGCTCTCAGGCATTGCTAGCAGAGCAGAGGATTTTTCTTTCATCCATCCGCATCTGCCACAGGGGAAATTTCCTTCCTCTGCTGCTTGGACTTAACATTTTAGCTGTCCTCAGGCTAAAAGCTTCCATAGGAATCTTTTTTCTGCCTGATAAACTCAAAGAAGAGTTTTTTTTCTTCCCGTTAAACTCAAAGTGGACAGATTTTCCCCTGTTTGTGTTCCTGGCCCCAAAGTTAGAAAAATAAAGATTTAGTTTCTCTGTCCAGTCACATATCTTATTTTCTAAATCTTTCCTACACTACCTTACTCTTCTAAGTTATACTTCTTACACTATATATTTCTGACTTTCCCTACTTTTCATAGAAATTAAGACAGACAGAGAGAAGTCTTGATAGAGAAGATTCTATGCTGCAGCCTCAGACATCCTTCCAGTCTGTTTTTTTCCTTTTCTCCCAAGGAAAACCCCCTTCCCTATTTAGCTTTCCCTACAAAACCAGATCGTTCTCTCTTCTTTAACTGGCAGAGCCACACTCCCACTTTTGCCAAGCACTCTGGATATAAATGTCTATATTCTTTTTTCTTTTTTCTTAGTCTCTGTTCAGTGGTGCCATCTGTGGGAGACCATCCCTCACCCTCACATTTTCCCCAGAGTACTCTTGAGTAGGAGCAGCAGGAAATGTTAGATAGAAGGACAGAGGGGAGGGAAACAGAGAGAAGATACAGGATAGACTAGGGGGCGGGGGATGGATTCTAATCTATCGGCCCAACTGTCTCTGCCCTAGGATATTTAAAGGAATGCCAAGGGGTGGAGCAAAAGACCTCCCCCCAGCACAGCCAAGTGCAGACCATCTCAGACATCTGCACTCAGGCCCGTGGTCCAATCATCCTCTCCCTGCAGACCTGTTGGGTAAAGCCCAAATGTGCTGCAACAATATGCAATAGAAATGAACTAAATGCACTAAAATTCACATTCTGTCTGTGAAGAAAAAAATTCATAAAAAACTATAGAGTAGGAATGCAAACTTGTACAACCACTGTGGAAATCAGTATGACCATTTCTCAGAAAATTGGGATCTACCTCAAGACCCAGCCATACCACTCTTGGGCATATACCCAAGGAATGCTCAATCATACCACAAAGATACATGCTTGACTATATTCATAGCAGCATTATTCGTAATAGCCAGAACCTGGAAACAACCTAGATGCCTGTCAACTGAAGAGTGGATTAAAAAAAATGTGGTACATATAAAGGCAAATGCAGGCAAATGGATGGAACTAGAAAATATCATCCTGAGTGTGGTAACCCAAACCCAGAAGGACAAACATGGTATGTACTCACTCATAAGTGGATACTAGATATAAAGCAAAGAACAATCAGACTGCAACCCACAGAACCAGGGAGGCTATATAG